CTCTCACATCCATGTGGTAGAAGCAGATAACAAAGGCTAGAAACAAAGGTTATCCGCAAACAAACAAACGGTAGAAAATACACCAACCACAGACAAAATGTAACCCCAACCACCGTACATCAAGGTCCCTCTACAACCACTGTAAAAGATGAAAAAGAAAAAGTGAAAGGTGAAATAAAATAGCTGTGGACCTGGTATGGTGATCGTCTAGACGTCGGGGGCATATTTGGTGACTCGGATGCGCCCTTTGAAACTTTCAAAGCGTTGCTGTATGGTCCGGCCTCGTACGGTAATGATCGGAGCACCCGGAAATTCCATGCGGAACCCTCGAACTCGATGTGGCTCGATGTAGGCGGTGTGCGGTGTAAGTGCGGTATTCGCATTGGCGCCCACCCGTCATACGCGCGTTTGCCCTTGTGAGTTGCCATCTAAAAGCATGTGACAAACGAGATTAGTCGCAATAATCGGGCATGCAGGGAAGTAACTCGGACTATGCCAGAAATTGACTCGGTGTGAGTCACATATGCGATCCCGAGTTGCAAGTCTGGAAACTGACACGGTCCGCGTTAGAACTGACGCGGTCCGTGTCATTTTCTAGAAACGCGATGATGAACAGATTTTGTGCGAAGCGGAGTACGGGGCTAAAACCAGTGAAATCTCGGATAGGAAAATCTGTGCCAGGCCTAGGGGGATCATAAACACCCATCTAACCATATAAATCCTCACAAAACAATTGAAATCGACCAAAGAAATGCAAAAGCCCCAAAACCCTAACTTTGGAAGTTCTATCCAAATTCATGGATTGAAATCGCGTAATGATGCACCGAAGTGTAAGATTGGCCAAAGGGACATTTACTTGGACGAAATCGAGTCGAGAGATCGAAGAATTGAGGCGAAATGGTTGAGAGGGCGATTTGTTCTTCGGAGTTTCGACGCGGACAGCGTGAAACAAGACTGAAATTGCGACTTGAATGGGAAGTAACGCGGGCCGTGTCAAGTAATGCGGGCCGTGTCAAATGTGACGCGGGCCGAGTCAAGTTTCTGAGACTTACCTGGAATTTCGTGCAAATATAGCGCGGACCGTGTTCTGAGTGACGCAGGTCGTGTCAAGTCTCTGTCAAAACTCGCCAATTTCGTGCTAAAACCTGCAAAACACAGCATAACCCGCAAAGTCCCCAATGGGACGAGACACACTTACCAAAATCTCTAGATTCTGTGAAACAAATGCAAGTGAAAATGTTCAAAAATAAAAATGCCAAAATGCAAAAGAATCAAACGTCGGGTTGCCTCCCGAAAAGCGCTTCTTTAAGGTCATTAGCTAGACCGCGGGAGATTTACTTGTATGAGGGGTCGGTGAGGTCGAAGACCGCTACTTTGTCAATTTCGGTGGAGGGATTGTACAGTTTAATGCGCTGGCTGTTCACCTTGAATGTGTCACCATGAGTGTTCACCATTTCAACTGCTCCGTGCTCGCTTACGCGTGTAATACGGAAAGGGCATGACCATTTGGATTTCAACTTACCTGCAAAGATGCGCAATCGAGAATTATATAATAAAGGGTAAAACCCCTAAAAAACCTCCAACTTGCAAAAATATATACAAATAAACATTCAACTTGAAAAACTGTCATTCAATCCTCGAACTTGTAACTTGTCACTGAATAAAACCTCGAACTTGCAAATTATTGTTCTAATAAATCTTTGACCGGTTTGACCACAATTTCAAACGATCGGAAATCCACGTATTGACAGATTACTGATGTCATTTTTAAATTAAAATTGATAACGTGTATAAGGTGACATCACCAATCCGTTAATACGTGGATTTTCGATCGCCTGAAATTGTGGTCAAACTGGTCAAAGGTTTATTAGAGCAATAATTTACAAGTTCGAGGTTTTATTCAGTGACAAGTTACCAATTCGGGGATTGAATGACAGTTTTTCAAGTTAAATGTTTATTTGTATATATTTTTGCAAGTTGGAGGTTTTTTAGGGGTTTTATCCTATAATAAAACTAGATCGCCTACCTTGAAGGTCTGGTGTACAATATGTCGGTCATGCCATTTTTTCGTCCGCTCTTTGTATATGTGCGCGTTTTCGTATGCGTTATGTCAGATCTCTTCAAGGTGATGAAGCTGTAGAACGCGCTTCTCGGACGCCGTCTTCATGTCGTAGTTGAGAGTCTTGATAGCCCAGAATGCCTTGAGTTCCAACTCGATCGGGAGATGACACGCCTTCCCGTATACTAGCTGAAACGGCGTAATACCAATCGACGTTTTAAACGCAGTTCGATATGCCCAAACCGCATGAGAGTCTTGATAGCCCAGAATGCCTTGAGTTCCAACTGGATCGGGAGATGACACGCCTTCCCGTATACTAGCTGAAACGGCGTAATACCAATCGACGTTTTAAACGCAGTTCGATATGCCCAAACCGCATCCTCAAGCTTCATCGACCAGTCCTTGCGCGATTTGGCCACAATTTTCTCAAGTATGCGGTTCACTTCGCGGTTTGATACCTCGACTTGGCCGCTTGTTTGAGGATGGTATGGTGTAGCGACTCTATGAAAAACACCGTACTTCTTTAAAAGGGACTCGATGGAACGGTTGACAAAATGGGAACCTCCGTCGTGATCATCACTCGCGGCACGCCAAATCTCGGAAAAATGATCTTCTTGAACATTCGAGCTACAGTAGAGGCTTCATTCTTCGGGCAAGCTAACACTCCGACCCATTTTGTGATGTAATCGACTGCTACCAGAATGTAGACATTCCTGCACGAAGATGGAAACGGGCCCATGAAATCGATTCCCCAAACATCGAATGGCTCGACTTCTAAGATGTAATTTTGTGGCATTTCCTGTCGTCTGGATATGTTCCCAGCTCGTTGGCACGCGTCGCAGGAAGTGACGTAGGCATGGACATCGCGGAACATTGTGGGCCAATAAAAACCGGCTTGAAGGATTTTGGTTGTCGCCTTGGAGTCGCGTAATGACCCGCATAATCGGAATTCTATACCTCTTCCTCGGGAATGCAGCGACGGTAGATCCCGTCCAAACCCCTCTTGAACAAGAAGGGGTCATCCCAAAAATAACCCTTTACATCGCGGAAGAATTTCTTCCGTCCATTATAGGTGAGCTCAGGAGGAGTGACCTTTGCCACCAAGTAGTTAACATAATCAGCGTACCATGGTGTCCTTTTGTCTATCGATATCGCCATGATTTGTTCCTCACGCATTGAGTCGTCGATGGGTAATGGGTCCGGTATCTCAAGACGAGATAGGCGATCAGCCACTATGTTCTCAATACCCTTTCGGTCTCTAATCTCAAGATGGAATTGTTGCAGCAACAAGATCCAGCGAATCAACCTCGGTTTCGCATCTTTCTTCGTAAGTAGGTAGCGAAGAGCGGCATGATCCGTATACACTATCACCTTCGATCCTACCAAATAAGATCGGAACTTCTCGAAGGCATAGACAACTGCTAGCAGCTCTTTCTCTGTAATAGAGTAATTGGTCTGAGCGCCATCTAGGGTCCGACTAGCGTAATAAATGGCATGGAGCTTATTGTCTTTCCTCTGACCCAAAGCTGTGCCAACTGCATAATCAGAGGCATCACACATCAGTTCAAACGGTTTCTTCCAATCCGGAGGTTGAATGATCGGTGGCGAGACCAAGGCTTTCTTCAACTACTCAAATGCGGCTAGGCACTCTCGTGTAAAAACGAAAGGGACATCTTTCCCCATTAACTCTGTAAGAAGTCGTGATATCTTCGAAAAATCCTTGATGAAACGCCTGTAGAATCCTGCACGCCCGAGGAAGCTGCGGATTCCTTTAACATTTACCGGCGGTGGAAGCTAGTCAATAACTTCTATCTTTGCCTTGTCGACTTCAATACCGCGGGCGGAGATCTTGTGACCAAGCACAATCCCTTCATGTACCATGAAGTGGCATTTCTCCCAATTTAACATCAGATTCGCTGCTGCACACCTGTCTAACACTCGATGTAAATTGGTCAGACACACATCAAAGGAGGGTCCATGGACAGAGAAATCGTCCATAAACACCTCCATAATATCTTCTATCACGTCGGAGAAAATCGCTTGCATGCATCGTTGGAAAGTTGCAGGTGCATTACAAAGCCCGAAGGGCATCCGACGATATGCAAAAGTACCGTAAGGACATGTAAACGTGGTTTTCTCCTAGTCATTGGGTTGAATGGGGATTTGGAAAAATCCCGAGTAACCGTCGAGAAAACAAAAGTGGGAATGCAGTGCAAGGCGTTCAAGCGTTTGATCAATAAACGGGAGAGAGAAGTGATCCTTACGTGTGTTGGAGTTTAACTTACGGTAATCAATGCATATCCTCTAGCCGGTCACAGTTCTTGTCGGGATAAGCTCGTTATTCTCATTTTGCATCAGAATTCCATTGGTATAATTCAGGACCCCCAGATAGATTTTTATTTCTACAATCATTCCTCCCTTCTTCGGTACGACATGTACAGGGCTCACCCATGAGCTGTCTGAAATCGGGTATATGATCCCTGCGTCGAGTAATTTCATCACCTCCTTCTTTACGACCTCTTTCATTCCAGGATTTAACCGATGTTGATGTTCTATTGAGGTCTTCAAGTCATCCTCTAGATGAACACGGTGCATGCACAAGGAGGAGTCCAGCCCTTTAATATCGTCAATCGTGTATCCGATGACCTTTCTATACCCTCGAAGTAAGCTCACTAATTTTTCGACATGTGATTCCTGCAAGGACGCATTAACGATACTAGGGTATGTGGAATCAGGTCCAAGGAATACATATCGGAGCTCCTTTGGGAGTGATTTGAGCTCAGGCTTAGGCGCGCGTTCGATACTCCAATCCGGCATCGATGAACCAAAGTTTTCCTCTAAGTCCGAAGAACTAATGCGGTCCGCCACTAACGAATCGGGCCGCGTCAAGTCTCTGAGTAGAATCGTGCATTTCGCCAATAGTGACACGGTCCCAGTCATTTCAAACACGGCCCGCGGTACATCTCTGAGCAAAATTGGGCGTCACGTTCTCAGCGACACGGACCTCATTCCCTGCCAAAACGTTCGTGCTAGAACTGACACGGCCCAAGTCAATAATGACACAGCCCGCGCCACATCTCTGAGCAAAACTGGGTAATGGCTCTGCTGCTTCACTTGTTCTCGCGCGATTTGTTTCAAGAGCCCATGCAGTACACTCTGCGTCTGAATGATTTCCATCAAGCAATCTAGTGAGTTCTTGAATCTCCTGTTCATTACAGAAAAGACTTCCCTCGATAGCCCCAAGAGAGATCTCCAACGGGTCTATATCTTTGAACTCTTCAACCATGTTCTCAAGCTCTTCTTCAAGAATTTCAACTGCACAAAGTGAGTCGGTGCTGGACGGTTGCTTCATAGTTTGATCAAGTGTAAATTGAACCATCTCATCACCGATTTTCATCGTTAAACGTCCTGCCCAGACGTGTACCACAACATCGGCGGTATTCAAGAATGGACGCCCCAAAATGATAGGGATTTTCGTGTCTTCGTCCATGTCCAATACTACAAAATCAACAGGGACATAGAAATCACCGACCTTTAATGGCACGTCTTCTAATATCCCAGCTGTATACTTGACGGTACGGTCCGCGAGTTGGAGTGCCATCCTCGTCGGTTTAAGTTCTCCAATGTTGAGTTTCTTGTACACCGATAATGGAAGTAGGCTAACACTAGCTCCCAAATCACACAGGGCACGATCGATTTCTATGATACTAATCTTACACGGGATCGAGAAACTACCCCGATCGGCCATCTTGGGCAGAAGAGTATGCTGCAAAATCGCGGCACTAACCTCGGTACTCAAAGCCACTGTCTCTTTTTCCATAACTCGTTTCTTTGTCAAGATATCTTTAAGAAACTTCGCATAAGAGGGCATCTGTAGGATTACCTCATGAAATGGCATGGTAACTTCGAGTTTCCTTAGCATAGCCGTGAATTTCGCAAACTGGCTATCTTCATTGTACTTCCGTAGATGTGAGGGAAATGGAACACGTGGTGCTCTCGGGGGTGGTGGAACGTGGGAACTTCCATTTGAACTGCCTTTCCTTTCTCTTCCTTAATGTATCTCGGTGCAATCTTTTCTTTCTCAGGTTCGTTATTTACCTCGGGAAGCTGCACTCCACTGCGCAATGTGATAGCATTGCAGTGCTCACGTGGGTTTGTTTCTGGCTTACCCGGAAAAGAACCTTAAGGTCGAGACGGCTGCTATGCGATCTGAGCTATCTGATTATCTAGCAACTTCATATGAGTGTCGATACCGTCTACTCGTCGCTCGAGCTCGTCTTGTTTTCCCCGCATTCCATGCGTTTCCGAACGTAGCTCATTGAAAGAATTCTCCTGGTCATGCATGAGCTGGGTAAGCATAGACTTAAGATCGGTCTCGTCGTTCTTCGGGGTTTGTTGTTGTCTATAGACCTGGTTCTGATTCTGATACCTCTGCTGTCCAAATCCCGGCGGTCCTTGATGGTTCATCGGTGCACTCTGATGTTGCGAATTCAAGGCTCCACTTGAATTTTCGTACGAGAAACCTGGATGATTCCTGTTGTTCAGACTGTAAAGGTTCGATGGATGCTGATATTGGCCTCTTCCGACATAATCCACCTCCTCCACCTGTTCTTCCTCACTAGGAAGTTGATCCGGAGCAAACAAACCCAGTTGGATTTTCTGCGTGTTCGGTGTCGTTCTACCTCCCAACTGGAGCTTAATAGCAGAGAGTTCTGACATTACGGCTTTGAGAGCCGCCGAATCTCCGGTATCTCCTTTTCCGATGCTTCTTCGGTTGATATCCCTTGTAGCTCCTCTGGCTTTCGCCATCTTGCTAATCTGGGCTTCTAACGTGTCGAATAGGATATCGTAAACGCTTTCTCCACATGCTGCATCTATCCACGCTCTAGTGTCATCATGGAGTCCATGGATAAACGTAGACAGTAGTAATCTCTTGTCCATTCCGTGATGCGGGCATATACATTGGTAGCTCTTGAACCGTTCCCACGCATCGTGTAAATTCTCATCGACATCTTGCGTAAAACCGTTTATAGCTCGTTGTGCTACTCGAGTTTTCTCAGGTGATACACGTCTTGGCTCGGAGAGGATGAAATTTTATCCGAAACGCAATCACCCGCACTTCACGGAGAAGGCTCTCGAATTCACGTTTGGATTGTGGTTAAAACGAAGGGGAATTTGATGGATCTTAGTTTCAATCACCGGCTCTAAGAGGCTCTCGAATTCAAAACTAAGAAAGGGAAATGGAATGGATCGAAGGGGAAGCAAAGGATAGTAGACCTCGGACACATCAAGGCTTGAGTTCGGACACACCAAACTCGTGATCTCAGACACACCGAAGATCGGGATAAATTTCGGACAAACCGAAGAAGAATTTATAAAACTCGAAATGTTTGAGACATTCTACAAGCCTGATTACAAATGATGCATTACAAGACCTTTATATAGGCTAGAATTCTCAACTACAACATTAAATGACAAGAACATGCAAGAGGGGTAGGAATCCAATGCATTAAATGAGGTGGTTGGGGAGCTAGTTGTTGGAATTGCCTTGATGTTGCATTAAATGAGGTGGTTGGGAAGCTAGTTGTTGGAGTTGTCTTGATGATGAAGAAGCTTCCTTTGGATAATTGTCTTGCACTCCAAGCAATTTCCTTTTACTTGGTGGCTTTGATCCGAGGTGGAACTCGGTTGTGGAACTCGGTTTGCCGTTACCTTTGCTCCGTGTATGCTTCCGCCAAGATCTTCTTTACGAGATGTTGTTAGATCCGATGTCCTTATCATTCCCTCTCTCTTAAGAAGTTTTTTCCTCATCATTCCCTCTCTCTTCTCCGTGTTTTGCCCTCAAAACTTGATTACGAAATAAACCGAAATAAAAGATAGATTTCACCGGGGTTAGACGGCCGTTGGCTCGAGCAAGCTCTGATACCAAAATGATGTACGCACGGAGGAGGTAGAGATAATCCGTGAACGATCACCGGCACTCTCGTGGAGGCACTCGAATTCGAACGACGGTTGGAGAAGGATCGAAAAGGATAAGGTTATGGGACTTTGATCCTGGTATCAGAGCTTTTTCATCATCAAGACATCGGATGCTCTCGAATTCGAATCGTAGTCAAGAGATGGATGGAGAACGAAGGATAGGGTCTCGGACAAACCAAGACAAGCCTCGGACAAACCAAGACGGGATTTCTCGGACAAACCGAAAAGAATGTCGGACACACCAACAAGAGAGTGAGGCAAGCTCGAAATTACTTAATTCATCTTCAAAAATCTGATTACGAATGAGTTCTAACATAGTTTAAATAGATGATAGAGTTGGATAGCAATTAATGACAAAAGAACATGCAAAGGGGTAGGAGCCTTTTAGCAATTAATGAGGTGGTTGGGAAGATTATAGCTGTTAGGACTTTGCTTGCAACTCAAGAAGCTTCCCACGGAAATTGCCTTGAAGATGAAGACTCCTAAGCTTGGTATATGGAGATATTTCGTGCCTTGCTTGATCTTAGAAACGGGATGTAAGTGTCTTCGTTCCGTGGACCGCATAATGCTCGATTGATGATAGCAATGAGAGTGAGCCGAAGGGCTCGAGATTTAGCATGAGTAAGGGGTGGCTTGGGCCGAGAATAGGAGTGTGCATCCTTCGGATTTTGTACAGCCAATAGTGACTCATCTCGGATGATGATCTCCTCGTGATCAGGTGGGACGTCATTCTCCGGTTGAGCTCCTAACTCCGTCCGATCCGGTAGAGCTCCTAGCTCCGTGCTTCCATTCCAAGCTATCATTAGCTCCATGTGTTCCTTTACTTCCAAGATATAGTTGGATGTATCACTCATGATTCCGAGGTCCTCATCATTCCCTCCCTCTTCTGGAGGTTTCATCCTTGAAACTGTTTTTCCTACATCAAACGGGGCCAAGTCAGCATTAGTGAACATATAAGTTATGTCATACTTACCTTGGTCTTGGTGTGCTTCGAATATTCCTAGCACTTTCTTTCGAGCCTTTCCCCGTTCGAAAGGTTTATCCTTTGTGAGGTCGTTGCTATGGTATTGAACCTTTTTCCGTCTGAAAGGTTTATCCCTATTTATATCCATGAGACCGTGATTAGGACTAGGCATTTCATGCGGTCTTTGCGTTGGGAGGATAATCGAGTTTTCTGTCTTTTTCTCCCTACAAATGTTCTCCTCCTGAGTTTGGAACACCTGTAAATCAAAGGCATAATCTAGGGCAGCAAATATGTTAGTGCAGCAAGTGTTCTTCCCGAGATGTTTGTAAAAACATTTTAATTTCCAAA